AACACCAGACCCAAAACAACATGGGACACCACCGCCAATCCCCCTCATCAGACCCAGGCCCAAGCCCATCCTATAAACGAAGGACAACCACCATCCAGAAAACAGACCACGGCTGCCTCGCCAGCTGTCGCATCCCCCGACCCCAAAACCAAACAAGCTGACACATGCCAAGAACACAGACCCAGACCCCAAACTCGAAGTCAGACTAAAACCCAGAATGCTACATCACAGCCACCCGCTCAGGATATCACATCAGAAAACTCAGGAAATTACACCACAAGAACTCGAGAAGCTGCAACACAGCAAATGACCCAGGATATCACAGCACAAGACCAAGGATACCACAGCAATAAGTCTCACAAGGTCATCACACAACCCATTACCTAAGCCATTACTACACAGGAGGCTAATGGAAAAGAGATCAAAACACAAACGACCCAGGAGATTACAACGCAGGACCCAGGATACCACAACAAAAGAACTCGCAAGCCCATCACACAACCCATTACCCAAGCCGTTAAAACACGAGAGGCTAATGGAAAAAAGATCACTACAAAACAAACGACCCAGGAGATAACAGCACAAGATCCAGGATATCTCCACAACAAAACTCACAAGGCCATCACACAGCCCATTATACCAACATCAACTCCATCAACCAATCAAGAGGCAGCAGCTCAGCCAACCAGCCCAGCACACCAGCCCCCACCACCAGTATTTATAGAGAGACGGCAGCTCCGATCACACACTGCTTGCACTGGCACGAAGCCGAAAGCACCAGCCTGAGGATGGCAAGTGGGACCTCACCGAAACGTCGCCAAGATACTCTTAATCTTACACGGGAAAAGACCCCAAAACACCTAAATATATTCATGTTTTCACAATAATGAAATTAGTTCAATCAAGTTTACATCTGTTCATATCACAGCACTAAAAACATAATTAGATCCTGATGGAGGAAATGTTCATTCTGGGATTCTAAAAAATGCTTTCAAATACATGTTATCATTTTACAGTCTCAAAAATAATAAAATAGCATATTTGTGAAAGATTCTAGGATGCACCCAAAAGGGATGCGCCACAACTATTTTATACAGTACAATTTTGACTGTGTATTTTGTATGCAAAACTTTTTTGTATTTTCCATTTGTGTTTGAAAACAAACTTAACTCAATTAAGAATATTAAACAGTAGCCCAAATTAGCCAAAATAGTCATTTCTTAGCATGAAAAACCTGGTTAATTTATCAGATTGTGACTGTACAGATCCAGGTTCAAGCCCTGGATACTTGAACTCAGCTGTGAGCTGCATAAGCTCACTGGATGACTCTCAGTCACTCATTCTGTCAGTCAAATCTACCACATAGGATTATGCTGTGACTGGGAGGAGGAGTTAGAAACGGGAGACAGTGTTTACATATGCTGTCTTGAGTTCCTGAATAAATGGTAGGATACAAACCTACAAGTAAGTAGCTAAAGCTATTGTGAAGCTAACTTGCATTTATTGGACTGAAGACTGTCAGCTGCATGCCAAGCAGACTACCAACATTCTGAAGTGAGTCAAAGCTGGGAACACATACACAGGGAGACTAACCCCTAACGTCACTCTTTTTGCCACAAGTGAAGTTTTGCCTGAAGTTGCTAAAGGAGGCTGGAAACATGTGATTTAATATCCCCATTAGTTGCATATTTAAGTTGGAATACGCGAAAAAAGGGTTTTCTGCTAATCAACTAGTAAATAAGTAGCATCTTTTCCAAGAGTTCCCTGTTCAACAGTAGAGTATACATTTATTTATTAAATTTTAAACTGCTTTATTTCAATTGACTCTGGTTGAGTTCAGAGTTAGAAATAACAGTACACAATTATGTATACCCATAAAACAGCAATTGTTAAGGTGACATTGCTCCAAATTCTTAATAATTCATAGGACCTGACCACCTCAACCCAAGGCCTGAAGGAAATGCCAAGTTTTTTTTAAAAAAAAAAAATGCTTAAAGATAGGGAAGGAGACACCCATGCAAATCTCAAAAGGCAGGTGCAATGGCAGAAAAGTCCCACTTCCTCGATCTCACAAGTAACATTCTTAACTGAAATGACCTGAATCAGGCTAATCTGATATGTTAGAACACACAGGATGGACAGATGTTAAGGGATGTTAGATGATTCTTAACATAGGTCTTTTGCCATGTACAGCTAGATAGGTAATAATCAGCACCTTGACTTATATCCACAAGCCAACTAGTAACCAGTGCATCTCACCAATCAGGGATGTTATGTGGGCACAGAAGACTTATCTGTCATAACTAGTACAGCCACATTCTGGATCAAATGTAGCTTCTGAGTCGTCTTAAACTGTAGAGTTCATTGCAATAGTTCAACTGCAAAATGCTTAAGGCATGATCTTAAAGCCTTAAAGTAGGGCCTCTTGATCCAGAAACAGGAAAAGCCAGCCAACACCTTTTGTATGTTATTGATTACCTGATTTATTGCTTCTGGTGTTTATTTTCTCTGTGCAAGTTTGGTCTTTTATGTGTTTTACATAATAGGTAACAGCAACTTGCAGTCTACTCAGAGCTTTCTATTTTTCTTTATGCTGTTATAGTGGAAATTTATTTTTTATTTTTTAATTAATTTTTATAACCACCCATCAGTTACTCTGGATGGCTTACAATTCAAATATATATTGCAATTAAAGCACTAAAACATTTTGAAAAATAAAAAACAATAAAAACTTCCAAAATAAATATGCATAGCAGCTGAGATACTTGACCAGTTAGCAATAAAGCCAGAAAACAGGGCCCTGGCCTGGACACATTTAGCACCCGAGCTTCGGGAACAGAGCCAGGCTTTTAGGGCTTTAAGGTTGGGTCTGTTTTGATCTCCAAAGAGCCAGATGTACTAAAATGATGTGGAAACAATTACATGAATACTGCTCCTTTATCCTCAACTGTCACTAGATTCCCAAGAGTGTTTGTCTGCCACCTGTAACACTTCCTGAGGTAACTGAAATGTTTCTCGAAGCTCTAATTAGAATAAAGTAGAATATTTTATTTGGCCAAATGTCATTAGACACACAAGTTTATCTCAGGTAAAGAAGCTCTCAATGTACATGCAAAGCAACAGGGTAATAATAATAATAACATAGTACCAATAAGAGCAAGCAATAGAGAAGATGAAAGGAATAATAGTAATAATACTACATTTAAAAATATATTTACATGTCTTGTTTTGATTTTAATATAAAATTAAAGCAACAATTGCATTGCAGCTCCAGAAATACTTTTTCTAAGATTTGAATAATCATAGCAGCCCCAGAAAATAAAAAGGGAAGATAAAAGATTGGCTAGTTCCCTTTTTTCTCTTCGCTGTTGGTCAAAAAGTCTTCAATAAACATGCAGCGTGTGCTTTTTCAAAGAAGAAAATAGTTTAAAACGACGAAAAATGAAAACTGGAGAATGCGGGCATCGATCCCGCTACCTCTCGCATGCTAAGCGAGCGCTCTACCATTTGAGCTAATTCCCCTCCCGGCGTACGTATTTGGAAGCTTCTGTATAGAAAGCTTTTACAAAAAGAATAGGAAGTACCAGGGGATTTACATTGATTCACAGCAAAATTGCAAAGCAACAAATGGCAAAGATCAAGAGTTGGAAGTTTGTGCTTATGATAAAACAAGAGCAAATAATAGTTTTTGTAATTCTCTTTCTGTGTTTAGTTAAGCCAGCCCTACTTTCTACAATTGTAACCATTCCATTGAGGGTACTCATGTGAAGAAATGTAAATTTTTGCTATACTTGATCTTCCTACCCTTTGTGACAGTCAAAAGCAAAGCTTTGTAATTAAAAACATGTTAAAAATAAACTACTCCATGGAGAATGCGGGCATCGATCCCGCTACCTCTCGCATGCTAAGCGAGCGCTCTACCATTTGAGCTAATTCCCCATGCTAAACTTGTTTTTCGGTATTCCTTTTAAAAGTAAACAAAAGCTACATATATTAACCAGTAAACTGGGTTGATTGTTCTGCGTCACTTGTCAGCCTAATTAAAAGGGTAATTAAATGTTGTAAAACTTGTTTTCAATCTATTCTTTCTCCTATCTTAAGTAATATTTCACATTGCACTTTTAAAAAAACAACCATTAACAAACTCTCAATCTGATCCAACAGAAAGGAGGTCTATTAACAGAACATACTCACTGAATCCAAATACGATTTTTGAGGCCTTAAACACACTCACATATGAGTATGGTGAAAATTAAAAAATATTCTACTGTGATAACAGCAGCACTAAATGCGCATAGCCTTATCTGTGGTGATGAAGTGTCGTGGCACGTGTCCTTTGCTGTTTTGAAGGTTGATAAGTCTGACGAACCCCTCAAACTGAATCTTGGAAATACAGAGCTTCATTACGATTAATTCCTATAAGCATAGTACTGGGAGTAGTAAGGCTGGATCTTAAATCAAGCAACAAGCTACAATTCCTCAAGGTAAAAACCACACAATACTGACAAGTATTTCCTCTTCGTCCTAGTCACTCCTATGATCTTCTTTCTCACCAGCCTAATTTGTAAAAACTGGTCTGCAGACTTTAAATGTATATGTCAGTGGAATTTCCGCCAGTGATTACTGCCCAGGGAAGCCTGTTCCTGAGCAAAACTACATAGCCCAACAAAAAGGTAAGTATTATATGCTGTGAAATGAATTAACTACTCAGATGGTAAAATACTTGTTGAGCACATTAGCAGCAGTTTCCTGACCACTGTCTATATAACAGATTTCTCCAGAATATTCCACAGGTTGGAACCGCCTCAGCTTCCACAACCATATTCCTTTATTTAAGCGGCAGCGCTTATCGCGCCCTCCCTTCCTGGTTGCAAAGGCCCTCATTCTATGCTAGCCGTGAGATTGACAGATCTCACCACCACCACTACCAAAAAAAAACAAAAAAAAAAACAGGTCAGCGAAGGGGAGGGGCTTGTTTCCAGGAAATGACGTTGCACGCAAAGCAACACTCACGGCTGGCCGCCAGTGTGTTTCCGGCTGGTGGGGGAGGGGTTTGGACAAGATGGCTGGATCCACAGGTCTGTGCTGAGATTGGGGTGGGGGTCATTTGGGGCTTGCTGCGGCGCCGTCGGTTGGGAGGGAGGGGCCCTCCGATGACAAGGCTTTGAGCGTGGGGCTGAGACTAGCCCTCGGGAGGGATATGGTGTGAACGGCGTCAGTACAGCCCGACTGAAGTTCTACCCGGGGGAGCGGACGAGAGGCCGAGGGCTTGGTGCCGGGGCAGGGAATTCTCTTGGAAGAGAAAGACACGGGTTAGGAACGTGTCGAGGGCGTCAAACGCGCCCTCCAAGGCGGCTTTTGTATCTTGACGGGCGGGGAGCGGTTTTCTGAGTCTTCGAACCTGTTTCTGTGGCGGAAACTTACAGGGCTTAAAGGGCTGTGCAATGTCTTCGGTCTCATCCCTTTCCAGTCAGAATGCTGACAAATGCGGCTCTTTCCATGCCAGACAGAACTCGGTCGCGTGTTTCGTTTCGAAAATGCCGACATTAAAGTCTGGATTAACAGAGCTTTAAAAAAAACCAATGAGTTTTTCCGGGCATCTTCGCTTACTTATTCTGTTGGTTCTGAAGAATGATGTTTCTTAATGTTTTCTATATGATAATCTCATGCGCTTTCCTCCTCCTCCGTCATCTTGGCTAACTTCCTTCGGATCTCAGGAAAGAAGATCTGCCACTTAAGAATTTACATAAGCTTGGGATTTGTGTTCTTCCTTTTCTGATTGTGGCTCTGCTTTTTTTGTTTAGGGCAGTGTGATAAATGTGAATATTCTTGCTCCTTTGTAGCACACAGTATGCCTTATCTTTTATATTACCCTGACTTGGGTGTTCTTGGTATTTTGTCCATATCTCCTCATTGTTCACATAATGATTAAAAAATTGTTTGTGGAGAGGACATATAAGTTAACCCGAAATTCACCCAGTTTTTATAGATTATGTAAAATGTGGCATTTCAGTGAGTGTGGAAAAATAAAACAATGATTCAGTGTGTATATATATTAATTTGCAAAAATTATTTTTCTAGTATCCTAAATTAAAATATCTGGATTAAATCAGTTCTTTGGGTTCATGAAATGGCATCATTGCATCTCAACTAAGTGTTCTAGTGCTACAAGTTCTGTTCTTAGATCATTAATTTGATGTCTAATTATTCAATTGTTGATATAGATGGGATTGTTAAATCAGTGAACATTAATCATAGTTATTTGGAGATGCTGTTTTATTCATAACTTTTGAGTTTGTCATGGGCATCCAATTGCCATGATAAGGCAACTAGGCCTTTGGCAGCTGCCCTTATATTCTGATTTGCTTAGACTATAAATATTGTAAAATATTTGTAAATATTTGTAAAAAATCTTGTTAAACAGGATGTGTTTTGCACACAATGGATGCTTAAATTATTAAATGTAAGTAATGTACAGTATTTATGTTTGTATCTCCCTCATAAGAGTCCAGTGCGGTATACAAAGCAATAAAATAAGCCGTTACTTTAAAATATAGTATTTGATTAAGTTTGAAATAGATCTATATCTACACAAATGTTTTAACAACAGGCATCTGCTTAAGAGTTTGAATCTTAGTATTACTTCAAAAAGTATACTATACACATGTGTTTTTAAGTATCTAAAACTTGACAAATTTAGGAGCTCTTAGTACTTCTTACATGAGAAAAGCAATTTTATATCTACATCTAGTTCAGATAAATATGTACTGAACAAGTATAGTGTGTGTTTATACCTTACAATATGTAGAAATAAAACATACTGTTTTCTGTAAGAAAAGGTAGCTGTTTAGAATTTGCTTAGATGTCCTTTTCCACTTTGTTTGAATTCTCAGCATGGAATAGATTGAGTCTCTTTCTTATTGTGTATTTTAGCATAATAGCTACAATTGCTATTTTTTCAGTATATTTTAATAAAATAAAGTTCAGACTTCTATCTTGAGCTGTAGGTACCATCTAATAAAACCCATAGATCTTTCCTCAGTTTGTGCCTCCAAAAGCAAAATTACTGTGTGGGCATAATATTCCACCAACTTAATTGGTACTACTGTTTTCATAATTATTAATCTAGACAAAGAATCAGAAATGAAATATCATAAACTTACTTTGCACCAGATATTTTTCCTGTACCTTAACAACAAAAAGGCTTTAATTTTCAGGCATAGTAATTACAGATAGTCCTAATTTACAACAGTGCTGAATAAGCAATATGTATGACTGGTCTTCAAAGTTCCACACCCCTGTGGTCATGTGATTGCGATCTGGTACTTGGCAACCAGCTTCCACTTACAATGGTTGCAGTATCCATGGTCACATCATCATTGCAAACTTCCCTGCCAGCTTCCCACAAGTTGGCAGGTGAAGGCATAGGTCTGTTCCCACTGCTGTCATTTTTCCATGTTTCCAACCTCTGGAACACCAACCTTGTACCTGGCTGTACTATACTGAACAGCAATAGTCAGTTTTCCTGCCCTGTGGAGCACCCATGTATTGATCAGTTGCCTGCTCAATATAATAAAACTAATCAGAAATACTCTGTAGTTTCTTATTTTGACTAAACCACAGAATTACAGTCATCAACTTTACAACAAATCAGAAATTATAAATCATAATCTGAGATTGGTTTCATATTCTGGCTTATTCTAAAATTAGAATAGAATTAGAATAAAATAGAGTAGAATAGAATTAACAGAGTTGGAAGGGACCTTGGAGGTCTTCTAGTCTAACCTCTTGCTTAGGCAGGAAACCTATAACATTTCAGACAAATGGATATCCAATCTCTTCTTAAAAACTTCCAATGTTGGAGCATTTACAACTTCTGGTGGCAAGTTGTTCCACTGGTTAATTGTTCTAGTAGTTAGAATCTTTCTAATTTCAGTGTCTCACTGTGGAAAAAGGTTTTATATGTTCTGGAAAGAAAAAGGATTAAGTCAAGTTTTGATTATTCACATTTGATAATGTTTCATGGAGATTGATAACATGAACTGAAAAAATCCTCACTATAAAAAAGACCTATTTTCTGATGCAGAAAATTGATTTGATTTGACTTCCAAGTATAAAATCTGCTATTTAGAATCTATCATTTTAAATAAGACTCATGAGAAAGTGTTTTATTCCAAAATAAATGTTTATCCATATAATTTGAAACATCCATCTAATTTATATACTGCTCACCTTGCAGTTCAAGGCAACTCTGAGCGTCTTAGAACAACTTTATTTTATGTGTAATGATTTAATTTTCAATTGGGATGTACTTTGTTTACCATGAAAGTGTTTTTGTTTTACTTAAATTCAGACATTCTGAAGTGTGATTTATAATGGTTGGGTTAGATGAAACATATTTACTAACAGGTTAAATAAATTCTTAATACTGTTTTTAAAATGTTAATATTGCCTCATTTCTCTCCAATAGTTAAAGTCCCTCGTAATTTTCGCTTGTTGGAAGAACTTGAAGAGGGACAAAAAGGAGTAGGAGATGGTACAGTAAGCTGGGGGCTGGAAGATGATGAAGACATGACACTTACACGGTGGACAGGCATGATTATTGGACCACCAAGGGTTGGTGCTGCAAGTTAAATATTTTTCTAACAAGAAACACTTGGGTCATATTTTAAGAGAACACACAATCAGTGGTAGTTAATATAGTTACATTCAAGTCTTCCTTTGAATCTAAATGTGGAATTTGTCAGGAGTCTTTTAAGTAATAGGAACTAATAGAGGAAGTTAGAAAAAATTATAAAGATATTTGCCCGTATTATTTTAAGTATATTGTTCATCTAAGACATGAACAATATACTTAAAATAATACGGGCAAATATCTTTATAGGTATATGTTCATTAACTTGGTAATAATCATATATTGAGTATAGACCTCACTGGTAGCTATTTCACAAAGTGAAGGATACATGAATTTTGAGTGCTCCTCTCCAATAGTGGTACAACTGAAATATGTTATCCTATTCCATGGATTCAGTACTGAAATAATACTAGATAGCTACAGTTTGCAAAGAAATTGATATGATTTTCAGAAGTAAAAAATCTTGCTCATATTAGGCTTTCTTGCATATCACCCCCTTTCCATTAGTGTGTGTACATATGTGTGTGTGACAAGAGGTCAATTGGCCTGCATTAAAGAATCCAAAGAGATACTGCTTTTCCTTCCCTTTTTTTGTGGCCTCCCCCCCCCCCCCCCCTTAATACGTGAGATAAAGTGAAAGACAGAAGGGAATGAGTGCTCCTGCCACTTAGAAACCCACCCTCCATCTACTGCATCCTCTTTACACTTGTGTGTTTGGTGTTGGATTTGGAGTATCGTTACATTGGTATCTCAACATCAGTTATTGTGCCTGTTTTATCTTAGACATGACTGCCTTGTTAGTTTTGTGTAGCAGTATTATATAGCATTTTGCTCTTTGATATAAATTTGTATCTTAGGACTGAGCACAATTTAATGAATTTTGTTTATTTGCTATAAAAGAATTTTAAATAGGATGGTGCTTGTACTATAATTCTTTTATTTCTTTTTGTATTTCTTTTTTTGTAATTGTACCACTGATTAGTTTAAGCTGAGAGAGGTTCTACAGAATGGAGATCCTAGCACTGAGAAGTTTGAGGATTTGCTCAGTGCTGTTGAGGGAATTATTATTATTTATTATTAAATTTATTTTCTGCCCATCTCATAATCAAATGACTCTGGATGGCTCAAAGCATAAAACATTAAAATTGTCACATATAAATATATCTAAGAGTAAAAATAGAAGTCCCCATTCAGATAAAATTATAATTAAAAGATGTGGGAGGGAACAGGTGTGATGTTCCCCATTAGGGGCCCCAAGCCATTTGGCAGAGCTAGGTCTTCAGCCTCCTGCAGAAGTTTAGGAGGGTGGCAGCCAATCTCATCTCGGAATAAGATGTTCCAAAGTGCAGGAACCATGGCAGAGAATGCTCTTTTCCTGGACCCAGCCAGCTGAAATTCCTTAGCCGCTGAAGCCTATAACATGCCTCCTCTGCTGGTGCGTGTGGAGAAAGCCAGTCCCATTGGAGTGAGGCAGTTCCTCAGGTAACCTGGACTCACACCATGTAGGGCTTTAAAGGTAATAACAACCTTGAATTGCACCCAGAAAAAGACCAATAGCCGCGTATGGCCTCCCTGAGCTCCATTTTTGCTGGCAGAGGGCTGCAGGAGGCCCTTGCGGCTGAAACCGGAGCTTCAGTGAGTGATGTCAAGCTGGCCACGCCCCTTGTCCCCCGCCCATGGCCCCTTGAGATCAAATACAACCCTGATGTGGCCCTCATTGAAATCAAGTTTGACACCCCTGATGTAGAAAATCACAATTAGACTTAAAGTCAGGGCCTTTGTGTATCTGTTACAAAATTCCAGAAAATATTTCTGTTTATTGCACGAAAATCAATGAAGAATCTATAATACTATAATTATTCATTTATTAAGGATTCCTTCCTGTTTTGCCAAATGTGTCATATGTTGGCGGTATAGAAGGTTTTTCTCCTTTGAAGCCTAAACATATTTTGTTATTGCTTTATATTTAAATTTTTAGTGTTGGAATTCATAGAGTTTCAGTTAATCTGAATCCAGATTGAAAATAGGGCATTGTAAACCCTCTGTATTTAGGTCCAATAAATACACTATTTGCAACTTCACTGCCTGAAGCTTTAAGAGTTAGTTCTAACTAGAATGTTTTAATTATAATAATATAATTGTAATCTTTATGCTGAATACCATTCTATCTAGGAGAGGAAGCAATTGATACCATATTTTGTAACATTAACTTTTAGACTAATCTTCAATCAGCAGAATTGACTTCAGTGATGATTAGCTTGATGTATGCCCACAATTTTCTCAGTTCTGTTTATGTATATATTCTATTTTGATTTGTGCATTATCATTTGCTAACTAATGACTTCATTAATCATTGTATATTAATAAGCCAAATAGAGATTAAATAATTATATACCACCTAATATGGGTAACATTATCTGGGTATGGAAGCTAATTAGGCATGGGCTAGTTAGTACTTGAATGGAAAACTGAGGATTCCCAGGGATATAGACCAGATGAAAAGAAACAAAGATGACATTGTCGAACAACTTCCATATTGCTGCAGAGAGCAGTATATCCATAGTCACCAGGAATCAAGTTTGACTTGAAATAACTTTACTTTTTACTTGTACACAGAAACAATCTATTGAAATAATAACCAACATTTTATTCTAGTTAGGACAGTGCCCTAAATACTGTCATTTTGTATTATTTTAGCTCAAAATCTGAATTGCTTCTTGAGCAAGTATGGAAAATGGAAATAAACAGGTGTGAAGAAACCTTCTACCTTAATGGGTTGTTATCTTGTGGATACCATTCTGCCAGCAGAAATTATTTTTAATGACTGCATTTCTAGGCAGTCCTCAAATCTGCAGTAAAGAGATAGGGAAGCCTTTGAGATCAGGAAATGCCCTTGCATAAGGGGAAACCTGCTTTGTAAATTTATATATAATCCAATCATTGCACAACCATGAATTTGTGAATCTGAAAGGTCAATATACATCAGAATATAATAGCAGCAAAATTTAAGGCATAAAGCTAGAAACGAAGAGATTTAAGTTCTAGTCCTGCCTTAGCCATGAAAGCTGGCTGGCTGGCTTTGGTCTAGTCACTTCCTCTCAGGCCAGCTCACTGGGTTGCTGTGAGGAAAATAGGAGGAAGATAGAGTATTAAGCATATTTGCTGCCCTTATTTATAAAAATGATAAAGGCAGCATAAAAATAAATAAGTGTACATGGAAAGCATATTGTTCAGTGGAAAAAACTGGGTTGTAAGAAAATATTTATAGCTTGGTTAAGTTGAAAAGGGAAATATGATTAGCCTCTAAATATAATTAGTTTTGATATTTATCTTCAAGCTATTACAAATTTAAAGAAATTGATTTTATTCAGCAAGTTCTGTATTTTTGATAAATTGATTGCATTTGCCACAATTATTTTGTTCTGTCAGATATGCACATTATTTTAGGTTCAGAAGCTATAGTTGAACTATCATGGCGTGCCAAGGTTGGCATTTCAAAAACTAAGTATTATTAATAAAAATAAATAACATCTGGAAGAACTTGAGAATCAAATAAGTGTTAGGAGTTCTCAAAGCTTTTTTAAGAATGTAAAATTGATTATTGGAACAATTACTGGGGATTGTTATAGGAATAGATATTTTCAAATTTCTCTTTATTTTTTTTTTAAAAATAATGGCTAAAATCTTTAATATAGTACGCCTAAAATAGTCTATAATGCACATACAGAAGCAAACAGATAATCATGTGGTGGCCATGCTTATATTAATTAAATTGAAAATATTGTATTACTTTTCCCTATTCAATTCGGGTTCCTGTGCATACACATATTTAGGTGAAATTGAAACTAGGTTTACAAACAAATCCTTTGGAATGGTGATAATTCTACAGTTAATTAGAATGGCTGTAAATGCAACTCCTAAAAAAGCCTAAAATATATTAATCAGCTGATTAACAGAAGTGAATATTGTAATTTATCCCTAGTATTCTTCAATTTCTGCTGTATTTGCTCAGTAAAAGTCTACCAGCCCTGAAATATGGCTGACTTTATTTACTTGTTTTCTTAAAATTGTGAATGCATATGTTCATTATGATTAACTTTTTGTCTTCTCTGTTTATTAGACAAATTATGAAAACAGAATATACAGCTTGAAAGTAGAGTGTGGGCCTAAATATCCTGAAGCACCTCCAACAGTTAGATTTGTAACTAAAATTAATATGAATGGAATAAATAATTCCAATGGAATGGTAAGTTGGATGCAAAATGAGCCAATTAATTTTGCAGGAAAGTTGTGAAGGACTCTGCTTGGCAGGAGAGGTTGGGTTTAGAGTTAAGGAACCTCTTTAAAAGTTGTCATGTACTGTGTGTAACTATATGCGGTATATCTGGACCACTATAACTATTGCCAAAATGATGTGGAGATTGATTACAATTTTTTTAAAATTGCACATTGGTAAATATACCACAGTATTAAAATTTTGATTCAGATATAAAATAGCTCATAATAGGATATTTAGTAACTAATAGTAAAACTAAAACTTTTAATTCAGTAGCCTTTTATTTGTTACCAACAATTAGTAAATCATGGAACTGCATGGGAACTGCACAGTGAGAGGGAGTAGTGGGAACTGTAATCCCATTTTGCCATGGCAGCTGCAAGAAGACTTTGATTGAGGAGATGCTAAATATGTCTGTTTCTGATAATCCTCTTAATGTATAGATCTAATTGAACTGTCCTGGATAGATAGATAAACAATTAATGAGATTGTATCTGCAAACTGTTGAAGAATACTATATAAGAATTTCTATTTTAAAATTCAATAGTTATGCATGTTCCAGAAATTAAATATGAATAGCTGAGTATTTTTTTAAAGATAAAGCAGTGTCATTGAATGTTTGATGTACTATTCCCAGAAAAAGTAATTGGAGCATATTAACAGTTAAACAGTATTTCCTGAATATGACAGTATAATATATGTATACACATAAATTATTTACTGCTTTTCATATGCTTTTCCATTTTTGAATTGTTGAAAAATTATATTCATTCCTTGAAAGCATCCTTCTATAGCAGGGCTGTCTAAACCCATGGCCCGTGGGCCAAATGAATAATGCGCTGGCCACGCCCACCCCAGGGGAAAAAGTTGTGATATGTCATGTGACAACTTGTCATCGTGTGTTTGATACCCCTGCTCTATAGCTTGGGTTTAAAAAAAAATCAAAGGGCACCAAAATAAAGGTTCTTATTTGAGACACTGAACTATAATTTCTTTTATGTTGCAATAATCAATAGTCTCAATTTTTGCATTTACAAATTAATGCAGCAGTTTAAACATCAATCCACAAGTTTAAATTTGTGTTCATATTTTCTGAAATATACATGCTCTGTTGACATTATTCTAGAATAAATTATTCTACATTCTCAGTTTAAATGTATTATTTCTTTCTTTATAGGTGGATGCACGGAGCATACCAGTGTTAGCAAAATGGCAAAATTCTTATAGCATTAAAGTTCTACTTCAAGAGTTAAGGCGTCTAATGATGTCCAAAGAAAATATGAAGCTTCCACAACCTCCAGAAGGGCAAACTTACAACAATTAATTTTAGCTGAATCCCAAACTTGTCTTAAACAACTTCTACTTATGTTAATGTCTTGATTCAATTTCACAATGCAAACCACCCACACATTAAGAGTTAATGCTGGTGTATATGATCTGGACATTGAAAGAATATATATGTATATGTATGCCCCATATGTTTTCAGGCACAATCAGAGAAAAAAGGCAGCACAATTTTTTCCTCTTTACCAAGCACTATCATTTTAAGCATAAGCCTGAAGTAGCCTAAATTTGGAACTCCAGTGTTTCAAGATGAGCGCATGATCGGAAGTGTCAGGTTGCTGTGGAATAATGTTTCAGAAACTTTTTGCAAGAAGAAAAAAAAAACTAATGGCATGCTTTATCCATCTTGCTTTAGTGAAAGAGCTGCAGATTAAAACAATTAAGTAGCAGGTACTGCAAATACCATTGCTCAATTTGTTTAATTTTTGCAATGTGTGGGTGCTGACTGCTAGTAGTGTTTCAGAATATGGTCAGGATTGTTTTGATACTTGTATTTATAAAATGGGGGAATGATTTTCTTTTAAGCAGCTCCTGTGTGTTTCATGTAATGGACATTGCAAATATTTGTTTACAGTCTTCGTTCTAATAAACCATGCATTTAAGTTTTAGTGAAACCAACAAACAAAAAAAGGAAATAGGTGTATGGATATGTGATTGAGAATAAAGTTAGTCTTCAAATGTAAATAAAATGTGAAAAATATCCCCTGAGGCTGTGCTATTTCTAAATTTACACTGGCAGTACCCTACAAGATTGATAAGTCAAATGTTGCTCCTAATCTTGTCTTAATTACTCTTTTTCTTGGTATCTAGGCTGCTGGAGCAATTTTAGTGGAACCAGTTATATTAGACTCTGCATGTGTTATTCTTTTTCTTTAATTTTGAACTAAACGGCCCTCTAATTGTAACCTTTTTGCTTTTGTGATGCTCAGTTCGTATGTTGAATTCTTAAACTCTCTTTGCTATTAGCAGATATAGTATTAAAAATAATAAGAGGGGAAAGATGCAACTCCTTGTAAGTATGTTGTAGCTGACTTTTTAGGTGCTTTTGTGTTTTGTGCAATTGCTGCTCGATGGTTCAAGGAGCCTTAGATGGACATTAAGGTGTTGAAAATTCATTCTGCCTTATATTTTTTTCCCCTTTCATATTGATTGAAATATGCATGCAAACCCCTTCTTCTACAAATAGATGTCTGTTATTAATATGCCAGCAACTAAGGTACTATCTGGGTACAAGAAGCTTCTGATCTGTGTAGCCATTGTGGATGGATAATTTATTAGCTCAGCCTAATCTTGTTTGCAGGATGTAAATATTAATTTTAAAAATATTTTATTTTTGCCACCTTCATTTTACATGAGAGGAGACATTAATTTAGGAATAAATTCTTTTTTTTTCTTTGTTCCTTTTAAATTAATGAACAGGATAAGCAGCTGTTTAAGGGATGCTTTCTGCTAAGAAAATGTTAAAATTTTGTGTTTCATGAACCGCAGTTTGCAGCTTCTACCTTCAGAATAAATGGAAATCAAGAAAAGGTTAATCCATATTTTCAGATATATTAAAAGTAAACAGCAGTTTCTTCATGATGTGGCCTTCATAACTACATGTTACATGTTTTATATTTGGTTATCTATATCTTACAAATTGTCTTATAGGAAATTGCCCTAAATATACACATGGTAAGTAAGCCTAAAACCTGAGTTCCCAAATGTATTTTGCTAGATTATGAGCTTTCTGAATGTAATGGAACTTAATTTTTTAGTGTGTATGTATTATATTTACATGCATACATTCTTTTATCATAGCTCCTACCATTTTGAGAAAAAACCCTCCACTATGATAATATAATCATAAGAAGGCTTTCTTTTTGAAAAATTCTGATAGATACATTTCCCAAGTTGACCAGCTTTTCCATTTTCATTCCACTATAATTTATTGATACATAATATTACTCTTTCCTTGATAAGGATTATATCTGGACTTAATTTGATAAACTAGGAGTATATATATGACTGACTACCTGATTCTACATACAAGATCTAGATCACATGAACTGAGGTGCCAGGAGTGAAAAGTGTGGAACAGTATGACTGGGCAGCTGCAAAAAACATCTGGAGGAGCCTTGAAGGTTGATGAATTATTCCCCTAAAGCCACTTTGTGCCTTTTCCCTTTAAAGCTTGGCAACTTTTCAGTGTAATGATATTAGTAAGTTTATAAAAACAAAGTTCCTTGAGCACAGAGCCATGTATAGACAGGGCAACTTGACATCAGCCTTAAATTATCTGTTTGGTGGTGTAAAATATGTATATGCGATAACAGTATAAATAAGGCAAGCAAAAATGTTTTTCCTTCCTAAATCCCAGTGCACAATAATTTCTAAAAAATGTGCCTGGAAATAAAGGTTATTACTAAAGGTTAATTAACAAGTATGAGAATGGGTTTAAGCTTTGTACTAAGCCATTATTTTCTAACCATGGTTTCTGGAAGAATCCAGAATTTGCAGAAGTCACACAATATACAAAATGAAAATATATTATTAAGTACAAATACATCAGACCATGTATGATACACAATTCAGGCTTCACACATAGTGCTAAGCCATAGCTTGTTTTAATAAGCCATTATGGCCTGGTTCATATGCAATACTAAGCCATCAATTATCTGATATAAGCCACAATTACTGGGCTAACACACCACATTAAGCTAAAACTAAAATCACCTTATGGAACAGAGTTAGTGATGTGTCAACCCAGCCTTCGGGCGTGCAGGTTTGTCCTTACTGTGAAAAAAAAGCAGCTACCTCAGCAAGTACTGAGGGATAAGGATTTGGGAAGTTGTGGGGTCAGAGTTGTGTGCATCAAATGATGGCTCCAAGGTCTAAGTGATCTTGGTGACTTTGGGGTATTAATGATAAATATTGCCTCATTGGTAGTGCTGAAACAAAATGCAGCCATCAACATGGTCAGCTGATGTCTGTTGAATAAAGAGATATCATCTTGTCTTTTCCCTCAGGCAGCAAAATGTATTGCACCGGCTTTCTATGAGTGATCTTTTTTTTGAGGGTCTGACTCATTCTGATATACTGAGACTAGTACATTATTAGTATCCTGTTTTCTAATATGTGTTGACTGCATTGGCTTCTCAGTGTTTGTTTGATTGTCTCACTGTAGTTACCTATAATAAATGTTTGGAACAAGTGCCATTTTTAAGCTGTATGTTTGCTCAAAGATAATCATGCTGTTACGAGGCCTAAAGAACAACAAAATAACATCTGCATGGAGAAGCCCCTTTCCCCAATCTCCCAGTATTGTGTATCTAATAAATACTCCCCCAACAAAAATCTGTTTCCCCCCCAAACATGAATACTGTTAGGCTTAGATTTTGCAAAATGGAGAGGCATCTTTTAAACTAGTGTTTCTCATCCTCAGCAACTTTAAGATGTGCGGGCTTCAATACCCAGAATTCTGATGCTGGCTGGGAACTCTGGGTGTTGAAGTCCATATATCTTAAAAGTTGCTGACGTTGAGTAATGCCCTTTAAACAAGATTCTGAAACTGGCAATGTTTCAGTGCCTACCTGTTAGACCAAGGGTCTTCAAACTTGGCAAGTTTAAGACTTGTGGACTTCAACTCCCAGAATTCCTGAGCTAACATGACTGGAAGAGGAATTCTGGGAGTTGAAGTCCACAAGTCTTAAAGCTGTCAAGTTTGAAGACCCCTGTTTTAGACTATAAGAAGGAATTTCCCTGGAATTGGCTTTTCCAGGCAAATGCTACCTCTTCATCATCACTGCATTCAATCACCTGCTATTACTGACCTGGCTGCCATGGGCAATAGACCTTTACATCCTCCATTAATCTAGCTTGTCCTTTTCTAATTAAGCTTTACTGCATCTTGTAAAAACAAATTGCTAAAATATTTTTTTGAGTGAAGCACATGAAATGGAAAAGGTTCATAGCTGACCATGAGTTGGAGTACTATAGCATAGAATTAAAACTTCTGTCTCATTTATTGTAGATTAACGTAATACAAGAATACATTAGGTATTATCTCTCAGCAAGGAAATGAATTGGATCGTACGCTTCAGGATAATTTTATTACATTTTCACCCCAATAAACACTTCATAAAAGATGTTTAATTATATGCACAGGCCTCTACTATTTGTCCTGTGGAAGAAATTTTATTTATTCATTCATTTACAATAAAAAAAAAAGATTGCTTGCTTGCTTTCCACAGCCAAGATAGCCATATTCAAATGGCTTCATATTCAAAGAAATGAAGCTTTTTGACAGTTTGATAAAGTCCTTCTGGTCAGAAGGTCACCATTCCTTTCACCCTATTCCAGATATCAATGATGTTGCTCTATGTGAAAACTAAATCATGCTATGCCCATAAAGAGATTCAAGAGTTTGTAATTTTAATTACATTTTAATGTGTCTCTTCCATTTTTATGTTGTAAAGAAAAACAAAAGACCTGCCTGATATGCTACAGTGTTCTTCCATTGTTGTGCTACATAAATAATGACACTGGTGCAAAACTTTTAAGTTATGACTTGACAAGCCTTACGTAAACAGGCAGTGTTGATACTGTTTTCCAGTTTACAGTAAACATAGTGCTACAAGAAGAAAGGAAATGTGTTTCTTAGAAACATTAACTGGCACTATCTATTCAGAAGATTTTGTCATAGATTGTCTCCTTCATTCCTGTATGCTACTATTTTATGCATATTGCCTATCAATTCTATATATTTATAAAAGAATATTTCATTTAACTTTCATAAGGATTTGTGTGATGCTAGTGTCCATGCACAAACACAAAATAACATGCTCCACTCTCCAGCTTGTTTCATGATGGATGTGGAAGTATACCTCAAGATTTTATACTGGGAAATTTTATGTGTTCTGTTTTCAGCCAAGACAGGTAATCTTCCATAGAAGTCATCGCTAAGGATGTAACTTGTACATGTATTTGTATGGAGAGAAAATGCCTCTGTACTTGGGTCACACAAATAATTGACCCAAATAATTGCTACAATCCTCAAAAGGCATTCACTATTAATCTTCCTTTGTTAGCAAATGAAAAAATTCTTGTTCTCATCATTTTCCCCGTATGCTTACATTTCTCTTGAGATTAGAAAAATGGGGCTGCTTTTGCTTTTATTTAGAGAAAGTAAATAGTAGCAGCACAAAGGAGCCGCAGCAACAGCAGCAAACTCAAATACACTTACATATTGGCAATGGGCCTTATCACTTGATTTATACAATAGTCCTTAATATCTGCCTTGTTATGTAATGTTTCTGCAGCATTTGGAATTCTGATTTGATTTTACTTAATAAATAAAAGGAATACAGTTTTGTATTACATTGCCAAATTATTTGTAGTGGCTGCTTAATTCCTAAACCTGTCATTTCAAGTCACCTCTGTTCAAGGTTTGTTTTTTTAAAAAAAAAAATCCAGTCTGTTGCATGCCAGTTTCTTCCAGTGAGAAGATTACTGTACAATGCAAGCTCTGGTTCTGGCTGGCTGTAGATGCCGCAAACTCGTTGGATCTATATCTTGCAGCCCCAAAATAATCCAACCCACAACATCAGCAAGTTCTTCTTGTACATTCTTTCCTCCTGTTGAATTTGCCACCCATCCTATTGGGTAGCAAGACAACTTCGCAAGCTATAATCTTTGGTGAACTGTGATTTTATGTCAATCCTGCTTTCTCACAAGAGGTGCACAGGTGGTGATGAAGATCAAATGTTGCTGGCAGAAGAGCAGCCCGATTTGATTGACACTCTAGATCTTCAATGCAAAGGGAACTCTAACAATAGTTATTGCTCCAGAAAAAACAGTCTTCAAGAGAAGGGAGATGAACATTCAGTCCACGAAAGTCTGGATTATTTGCCTTCACACAGTAACATTTATAAGAAGTGGCTGCAGGAGCAAGGCTACAGGTACTTGACTTAAATTTGTGTTTATATCTTAGAATTGCTGTTATAAGAAGCAAACATGGAGTGCTGTTTTCAGCTTACTTCCTCCTTTTTAATTTTTCATCTCCCTCTTCTGTTTAGTAGTTAGCTAGGATTCTGTGATCACTGCTCAAGCTTAGAGCCGTGATGGTGCAGTGGTTAGAATGCAGTACTGGAGGCTACTTCTGCGGACTGTCGGCTGTCTTCAGCTTGGCAGTTCGAAACTCACCAGGCTCAAGGTTGACTCAGCCTTCCACCCTTCTGAGGTTGATAAAATGAGGACTCATATTATTGGGGGCAATATGCTGATTCTGTAAACCATTTAGAGAGGGCTGTAAAGCACTGTGAAGATCTATAGAAATCTAAGTGCTATTGCTGTTAACTCTTTAAACGGCATTGAGAAGTGTTGGTTGTAGGGTTATTAAGCAATGAGCTCCCCCCCTCCCCCCAGGTATCAATGTGTTTAAAAACTTATTCAGGCTTGCATAGGCAAAAAAATCGGAGTTCATTTTGGCTTACAATTTCATCTAATAAATGGATTAAAATTTATTTTTTAAATGGAAGTACTTCTTACCTCACCATAATCCCAAGAAGTGTTTTTTTTAATTCATTGGGCAGCACATATGTTTATAAATTATGGTGGGGGTGGCCTGATACTATAAAGTTTGAGAACACCTCCCATATTAATTTCATGAAGTCTTGAACCTATGAGACTCTACATATTATTATCCTCATAGACCTAACACTCCAAACTGTAAATTTTACTAGGAACTGCCAACACAGGCAGTCCCTATTTATCAGGCACTAATTTAACAACTTTGAAATTATGATTAGAACTGAACAAGGAGACTTGCAAATGGTTCTCAAAGTTGTGGACACTACAGCATTACCACAGTCAGGATTTGAGCATTAAGCAACTGGTGGACATTTATGACAGTTATAGCATCCCACAGTCACAGCCAGCTTTTGACAAGCAAAATCAATGGAGAAGTTGGTAGAAAGTTGCTAGTTGTAATCACAAGATATATTTAATGACCTGTGGTGATTCACTTAACAACTGCAACCAGAATTGAACTGACATTGTAAGTCAGGCATGGTCACATAACATTTTACTTCATGATCTCATTGCTTGGTAGAGGTGCCAGTCCCAACTGTGATAGGTAGGTAAGGACTACCTGTATGGATTTATGATAATAAATCATAGATATAAAGTATGTTCACATGGTTGAAAATGCTTTCCATGGAAATAGTGACAAAGTACAAATAAGTAGTATATTAATAAATGGTTTTGGGATGGAGGAATTGTGAATCTTATGCAATAAGGAAGCTTCTCTTGTTCAGAAACTCATCCAAATGAAATATGTAGATTGTAATATTATGAATTAATATAGAATTTATGGCAGCTGTGTCCAGCTTGATGTCATCAAATGTGTATCAAGTTTTTAAAATTACTCAGCTATAATGGCTACCAGATAAATTCCTAAGTGATTATGGGAATTAATCGAGCACATCTGGTGAGCCTGAGCAACTAAGTGGGTTATAAGTCAGGGAGTAAATCCCAGAAAAATAGTAGGCTTCATTCTTGAGTCAACTGGCATGGTTGCGCAATTAAATCAGGATTATTGTATATTTAGGCATATAATCTTGCTAAAATGAAGCACTTTTTTTATAATGCATCTGTTCAGAATAAGACCTATCTTTCATAAATAATTTATGTGAGTCAGATCATTCAGTCCATGAAATATTTCTAATGTCTGCAGTAAAATTAATCTAGAAATTAATGACAGCAAAACCAGAATATCTATTTCTTTGATATTTGTAATTGCCATTAACAATTCAGCAGGTAAAACAGAGGTGGTATTCAGCAGGTTCTGACCAGTTCTGGAGAACCAGTAGTGGAAATTTTGAGTAGTTTGGAGAACCGGCAAATACCACCTCTGACTGCCCCTGCCTCCTCTGCCTTCCGAGTCCCAGCTGATCGGCTGGGTCTTTTGTTGCCCTTCACAGGAGAACGGAGCTGGAAAGCAGGTTAGTGGGGTAGGGAGTGAATGGGATTTTGCAGTATCCTTCCTCTGCCATGCCCCCATCAAGCCATGCCCACAGAACTGGTAGTAAAAAATTTTGAATCCCACCACTGAGGTAAAACAGATTATTTTAGAATACACTGGTGGGATTTTTGGTCACATTTGAGCTTGCTTCTCTTGAAAAGACATTTATTATATAGTCAATTTTCCCCACA